ATTAATAAAAACAAAAAACAAAAAAAACCTAAGGGGTTTAGTTATGTAGCTCTCCAGTATCTTAACTTTGTCTTTAATTTCTTCTCTGTGTAACCTAAGGGTTCATGAATCATACAAAACTGAAGAAATAACAGTCAGAATATATGCCTGAACAAATTATCACAGGCACTTGTACATGTTTAAGAAAATTTAAAACAGAAGGAAGCTGTATCTATAGGTAGATGCAGTCATTATATGCTCATTGAATGCAAGCAGAAAATTCTCAAATACTTAGTTCTCTCCTTAAATCAAAAGAATAAAAGCTTTCAGGAGGTTTTTAATATCTAATCACTAATCTGCATATAATAGGTTCATATACTATAGCTACTAAGGTTTCTAGTAGCTTTATTTTTAATAAGCACAAGTGGGAAGCAATACATGTGTCCATGAATGGTGGTGAATTAATAATAAATGGTGGTACATCTAAACAATGGAATACTACTCAGCCACAGAAAGAACTACTGATACACGTGACAGCAAAGGCTGAATCTCAAAAGCATTATGCCAAGAGGAAGAAGCCAGGCACAAAAGACGGGTGGAATATCGTGTGAGTCCACTTAGATGACACGCTGGAAAAGGCAGAAGTATAGATAGGGATAGAAATCACACCGGTGGCTGCCAGGAGCTGGAGTGGTGGGGAGGGGAGTGACTCCAAAGGGCCACCAGAGAAGTTTCCGGGGTGATGGGCAAGTTTTACATCTTTACTTTACATCTGTCTTGGTGGTTCCATTTTTCAAAGCTCGCTGAGCGCCTACAAGGGGTGAATTTTCCCATATGTGAACTATGCCACTGTAAACCTTAAGTGTTAGAAGTCTTATCTGCACAAACATCTATGTTATCAAAAGTGCTGTTACGGGGCCGGCCGAGTGGCGTGGTGGTTAAGAACTGGCTTGGAATGCCAGAGGGCCCCGGTTCGGATCCCACATATGAGGGCCAGTGACACTGCCCTCTACAGCTAAGATGCTGAACAACAGCTCAACCTGGAGCTGGGCTGCCGTGAGTCGCCGGCAACGGCGTAGGCTGCAGCCCCTGTGGCAGTGGGTTGCCATGGGCTATCATATGTAGCCAGCAGCCAGCGTGAGCGGCCAGCAGCCGCAGTGAGCGGCCGTCCAGAAGCCGGCGACTGATCTGCCTCCCCCGGGAAGAGCGCAATGATGGTGCCAACTTGGGCCAGTGAAGCAACGTCCTCCTCAACTAGACTGAAGAACAAAAGGACAGCAACTTGTCTGTTCCCCTTCCCCCAATTCCCCAGCACTATTCCCATCCCCACAATTCCCCAATAAAAAAAAAAATCTTAAAAAAAAAAAAGTGCTGTTACATCTATCCATGGCCATTTTTATCTGACATCTCCCCAGTGCACCAAGCATAACTGCCAGGACAGTTTCCCTGAAACCCAGAGCCAGCACAAGTCACGCTGTCGTCGGGGTGGGTTTCTAACAGGCCTCTCCACACCAGAACATCAGCATTCTAATTAGGAACTGAGATACTCTGTCTAAAGTTCAGCTCTTGGCTTTGCCCTGCTTGTCATTCAGCTGGTTAAACATGGTTGGTGCACATCTCTACCACTCCCCAAGAACGGGGAGCTCTCTGGGAAAGCGGGGTCCTCATCTCCCTTCCAACATGTCAACTCGGCTCTCCCTTTCCCCCCAAATAATGTCTTGTATCTAACAGGTATGTAATCATTTTACAGTAAATATAATGACGTTCTACAACTCTTATGGAATGTTTGTATATCCTCAAAGTCCGTATGTTGAAGCCCTAAATCTCAATGTGACGGTATTTAGACATAGGGCCTGTGAGGAAGTGATAGAGGTTAATGAGAGCGTTATGGTGGGGTCTTAATCTGAGAGGGCTGGTGCCCTTATAAGACCAAGAGACACCAGAGCTCCCTCTCTCCAGCATGTGAGGACACAGCAAGAAGGCAGCAAGGCAGGAAGATGACTCTCACCAGGAAACAAATCAACTGACACCTTAATGTTGGACTTCCCAGACTCTAGAACTGTGAGAAATAAATTTCTGTTGTGTAAGCTTCCTGGTCTGTGGCATTTTGTTATGGCAGTCTGAGCAGACTGCTTTTACGTTCGCTGGAAAGGTTAATACAGTCACTGAAAGCACTTCTATTAAGAAGCAGATTAACTGAACAACACATTTCTGCTCCTTGTATTAGCATGCACAGTGATGTTATTATAACTGTGTTATAATAATGGCTAACATTAAGGGCAAACTCTAAGGCAGGCTCCTTCTAAGCACTTCATACAGATGAGCTCATTTAAGCTTCACAGTGACCCTCTGAAGTGGGTACAAAGACACAGAAAGGTAAGTTGTTAACCCAGAGCAAATTATGTGGTGATGCCAGGTTGGAAACCCAGGCAGTTTGTCTCTCGGGCTTCAGCTCTTCACCAAACTTATTACATCAACTATAGACAATCAGTTCATTTTTCAAAAGTTCCTAATGATATGCAAGCACTTTCAAAGTTGTAAAAAAAAAAAATTAACTTGATATTGGGGTTTAAGACTGCAAAAAAAAAAAAAAGCAAAAAACACAAACACATCTGAAAATGAAAACAGGCGCCGGTACATCATAAGAGGTAAAATTAAACCAAAAACATTTGCCTTTAAACAGTTATCTTTCTCATTCTCTCTTTTTTAAAGTATACAGTCATGGTGATCATTTATTTTCAGAAAAACTACATATATGAGGTGTGATCAAATAATACGTTGAATGTTCAAATAAATTTATTACAGTAAAAGACACATTGCCATTAATCCCCCTCAAAATACTCCCCCTCGCTTTGAACACCCGTATCCCATCGTTCTTGCCACTGTCTGAAGCAGCTCCGGAGGTCCTCTCTCGTGAGTGTCTTTAGTTGTGTTGTCTTGATGTCCTGAATCATTCTGATTTTAGGGAAGAGCCTGAAGTCGCACAGGGCCAGATCCCGTGAATAAGGTGGAGGAGGACACACCGTGACGTTTTTCTTTGACAGAAATTGCCGTACCAGAAGCGATGTGTGACACGGAGCGTTGTCATGATGGAGGATAAAGTAAAGACCCTCACAACAGAGGACTTCCAGAGCTGCTTCAGAAAGTGGCAAGAACGATGGGATACGTGTGTTTGTGTGGATGGTGAGGGCACTTTCTCTCATGAGCTGCCTGACTTGAGCTTCCCAGGTTCCTTAAACCAATAAACATTTGAACGGCGTTCGGAGCTGGGACTGAGATCTTTAAATGTAGCTTCCCACAGCTATAAATTTCCCTCTACGCACTGCTTTAGCTGCCTCCTATAATAAGTTCTGGTATATTCTATTTTCATTCTCACTTATCTTAGGGTATTTATTTTCTAACTTCCCTTGTGAGTTCTTCTTTGATCCAGTGGTTAAGAGTTTTATTTAAATTTCCACATATCAGTGAGTTTTCCAGTGATCCTTCTCTTACCGATTTCTACCTTCATTTCACTGAGGTCAGAGCAGAGGCTTTGCGTAGTGAGGAAGATGAGAAGCCTGTGTACTATGTTAGCAGGGGTTGGCAAACTGCGGCTCCCGAGCCACATGCAGCCTGTTGGGTACCTTCTGTCTCAAAAGTTCACCAACCCCTGGAAGAGCCAATCCTGTCCCTCACTGTGAGGACCCAGGCCCAGACCCTAGGCCAAGCAAGCTATACCTTAGGCCAGACAGGCTCATCTTAGAGACAACCACACCCTAAGGAACAAGAAAAAGTCATACTCCAGCTGAGTACAGCAGAACATCCTGTTAAAGTTGCCAGGATGTGGTTATAACTAACAGTAAAAGCTCTTCTTTGCAAGAATTAGGTTACAATAGATTATTTTACAGATAACCCATTTTCACACCTAGCTCAGGACGTTTTGCAAGAACTGCTTTTTTGCTTCTGTACACTTGCTTCTGTTCAAACTCCCGGAAATCATGCCCCTACAAAACTTCCACCCACCAAGACCTCGGGGCCGTTTTCTGGCAGAGTGAGGCGGTCGCCAGGTTTGGCTCAATAAAGCTTTTGGAACGAAAAACTCTGTCTCTCAGGTCTTTACTAAAGAGCGAGGACCTAACTAACATCACGACAATTTAAGAATTATTCGAGAGCCATACATATATTTTTACATCACCATTATGTGAATAACAATACCCTTTAAAATGTTTGTAAATGAACCTAGGATAGTTTTACTTTCATTTTCACTTCAGAGCCACAGTTCCCCGATCCGCAGTTTGATGACCCCTGGTGGCTCTTCCGTCTCAAAAGTTTGCCGACCCCTGTGTAACTACAGGACAAATTAGCGCTCTCCGTTCATCAAGTTGTCACTAGCGTTCAACAATCTGCCTGCAACACCCGGAAGTGACTGGGCGCACCCACAAGAGAATAAACGGCACCTTCTGGTAGAACCCATTCCACCGGAAAAACTGGATGGCTCAGTGCGCCCCTCCCAGGGGCCTCTCACGGTCTCCAGCTCCCCAGCTCCCGTCGCCAGTCCCCAGCCTGGGCGGTCCCCGTCCCCGCCCCGCACCGCACCTCACCTCTCCTCCGTCCGATCGTCCACTCCGGTTTCCTCAGGAGGACATACGGCTCGCCCTCCTCGGCGCCGAGGCGGAGGAGCCTCCCCCACGGTTGGGGCTGCGGCCGCGGCGGCGGCTGTTCGCCTTCCCCGGGATGCTCCATCCGCTTCACATCTGACGAGATGCGGAAACGTCGGGTGAGACGGCCGCCAAGGACAGGGTGCGGCCCGCTGCCCTCCCCGCGGCCGCCCGGCTTACCCCACGCCCCGCGCCGAACCCGGAACCGGCAGCACAGCCGCCGCTGTCAAGAGACATCGCGGATCCCTCAGCTGATCCGCCAGGCGGGGCCCGCGGCTTCCGCGCCCTGCGATTGGCTGGCGGTGTGACCCATCGAGCACCGCGGCTAGAGTGGGCCTGGGAGCGGCCATCGAGACTGGGCGTGTGGAGGGTAGCGGAGCGTGCGCAGATGCTAGGCTGCGGGCCTCGGCGCCATATTTAGTGCTGGCCGGGACGACTGCGTCTCCGGGCGTCTAGGAAGTAGCTGCGTGCGGTCCGCGCCATGTTAAGTCGGGGCAAAGGAACGGAGTATTTTGAGGACTGGGCGCCGAGACCAATTGATTCTCAAAGCCGCGTTGGAAGTGCGCAGACGCACGAGAGGTTCAGCAAGTCTAACAGATTCCCAGGAGAAATGAAGAGTCGTGTTAAAGCTTAAGATACGTTTCTACCCCATTGCTGTAACTCTTCACAGAGCTACAAGTGTCGTGAGTAGTTTCAGGTCAACACTGTCCACTTTTATGGTTTAATGGGGTAAATTTCTTTCATTTCTTCTTTCACAAGGAAGGGAGCCATTCATTTTGTTGTATCTCAGAAGGAAACTATTGTAGATTACTAAGTATTTAACTATAACTCCTCCAGCTTGTAACCTAGGTATACGTGATTCCCTCTTTGCAAGAGTAATTTCTTCAAAAATGCTATTGGGTATTGGATAATATGAGGTCATTGTTGATTTTTTCTTGAGTGTAGTTACAATATCGTGGTTATGCAGAAAAATGTCTTTTTCAAGAGATAGCACTAAAAGTATTTAGGCATGAAATGTCACGATTGTTATATATTTTTTAAATGCTTTAGCAAAAGAATAATATGAGAAGATAAGGTAAACTAGAAGCTACTGTTAACATCTGTAATCGGTGGTTATCTGTTCATTGATTCGGTTATTCTGCATACTGTATGTTTGTGATTTATAGGAGGTAAAAATGTTGCCCGTGGTGAATTGCCCTGAGTAGAAAATGTAAGTAATGGCAGTTTTAGGGGAAAACTCTTTTTGCATTTATGAGCCCACAGATATATCCATTTAAGCTAACACAACACCAACTTTAAATAAAATATAAGGTTGTTTCAGTCACTTATGTTAGTTACCATAACCAAGCATAATAATAAATCTTGAACATGGCTGTTTAAAGTCTCTTTTTGTTTTTGAAGCTGTTTTATATTGTACTCTTTTTAGAAAAAATTGAGGTATGATTGAAATATAACATTTTATTAGTTTCATGTATACAATGTAATGATTTAATATTTGTGTATATTGTGAAATAATCACTACAATAACTCGTTAAATCCGTCACCATACAGTTAGAAAATATTTTTTTCTTGTGATGGGAACTTTTAACATCTACTCCCTTACCAACTGTCAATAATGCAATACAGTATTATTACCTGTATTCACTACGCTGTACATTACATCCCCATTACTTATTTGATAACTGGAAATTTGTACCTTTTGACCACCTTCATCCATTTCAGCCATCCCCCAACCTCTGCCTCTGGCAACCACCAATCCGTTCTCTGTATCTGTAAGCTCCATTTTTGTTTTTAGATTCCACATATAAGTGAGATCATTTGTTATTTGTCTTTCTCTGTTTGATTTATTTCACTTAGCATAATGCTCTCAAGGTCCATCCATGTTGTTGTAAATGGCAAGATTTCATTCTTTTTCATGGCTGAATAATATTCTCGTGCGCGCGCGCGGGTGTGTCATGTATTTTACTCTTAAGGCTCTGCTCACAAATCATTCAAGTGATAACTCAGTGTGTGTAACTGAATCTTCAATTTAGGAACCCCTGAAAGAGCACACTGAAGAAATCAATAAAAACACGGTCACAGATGGACCAGCTCACCCGGGAAAGCAGCACACTCACCAGACATACACTGTGAGAACAAATCAAAGGAACTGGCCATTATCCAAAGACAGAGATAATCACAGTGGCACCCTTTATGTCACACTTAGTTCTTTGAGATGTAGAAAATCCAAATTTGGTCCTTGTAAGAGGTGAGAAAGTACATATTAACTAGGGTGACCATGTATCCCACTGTGCTGAAGGTGATCTCAGTTTATACCTGTTTTCTCAACATAGTAATAGTTTTCTCCATGTTCAAAGGTGGATGATAAGTTATGTGGTCACCAACTCATAAATCACAGTGGGCTTTTAAAGAAACTTCCATTATGTATACATTCTCACAGCCTACTGAGCGTGTCAAACTGTAGCCGCTCTGACTTCAGCAGGCGACATTTACGAAGCATTTGCTGTTGCCACCACACAGGTTTCATTCTCCCACCTTCTCCTTTAGATTATGGCAGTGGCTTTCCTGGGACTCACTATTCTCACTTTGTTTTCTCCACAACGTCCTCACAACTAGCATCCAAGTTAGATCAAGTAACTTCTCTGTGAAATTGCTCAGCATTGTAGAATGGCACTTGCATTCATTTGCTTCCACCAGTGGTTCCAGGCTCATTTCTTATCATTGATTCATCCTTGTAGCCTAAATCCTGCCATGAAATGCCCCTAATAGTCCACGTTCATGCACAACTCCGTTTTCACATGTTATTTCTTCCTGTTCGAATATCTGCCCTCAAAAGAGGTGATGGGAGAGATTTAATAAGGGTCAGTTTCCAAAGATGGGCGGGGCTGAGGGGAGACAATCGGGATGTGAAGTGTCCAGGTGCTGACACTTAACCAACTACGCCTGACAGGGCTGGAGAGGGGCCAGAATCACAGAGCCCGGAGTGAGGAGAAGCTGCCCTGCAGGGGCTGTGGCTCTTGGGAGAGGAATGCAACCCCCACAAACCGCAGGCAGGAAGGGTGGCTGGCGGCCAGGAGAATAAACACCCTGTGTGCGGCTTCTCCTGACCTCGCTCCTGCTAGCCCCTCAGCATGTCTGCATCCAGCTGGAAGCCACAGCCACGAGCGTCCGTACACATCCACTGACAGGGGCAGAGCAAGATGCAACGTGGCTCTGAAGGGAGCATGGACGCTGTCACACACCTTCCCCCACGTGCATTTTCTTCCTGCCCTTTAAGACACAGCTCAAACATCTTCTAGACACCTGGTAAGAATTTCAAGTCTGTCTTGTCTTCCTCCAGCTACGTGCACGTGCCTTTAACCTTCACACCACAGTACAGGGACACTGCTCATCTGCCTCTGTCCCAGATTACAACACAAAACCACAAAGGCAGTGACATACTTGAACAAAAGAAAGGGATTTGGAGTAATCATGTAGAATTAAAATTGAGTCCTGGCTCTCATGAAGGGTTGAGTAACAGGTACACTACTTAAATACCTTCAGTGACATGGTGGTAATGGCAATGCCTAATCAATAGGTTATTTCTGTGAGATAAAGGAAATATTTGTGTGGAACTCACTGATCATCTGTTCATCACAACCCGTCAGTTTTGGTTGGCTTTCCAGTATTTCAGAAAAATCTTACTGTGAGCTCTGCTTCCCCAGAGTCGGAGCCCAGAGTCAAGTCCTCCGTCGTCTTGCAGTGGCAGTCATGTGACCTGGGTGGCACCATCAGAACTGTCCACCCGATTCCTGCTCTGAAAGGAGCTTGGAGATGACTGAACGGCCTAAATGTCCATTTCCTGATGCAGGGGACCACAGGAGTGACAGCAATATCCTGTCAGGCTTGTCACTCTGTGGTATCAGTGGCGATGTTATGGTTGCAATAAGTTTTTGTGCACCTTGGAGGAAGACCCACAGTGACTTTTTTAAATGTCCTTATTTTCCTCGCTGCCAGTTCTACAGTGTAGCTTTTGGACATTGCTCTTGGAAGCTAAATAAGCTTCCAACCTGCATATGGAATCCATTTCTTAACCTCAAGGAAAACAATCAAACGGGATAGGAGAAGGAAAGCATTCCAAAGTAGATGGAAGGTCTTATGATTGATTATGACAGGGAAATTACTGAATAAATTAAAAATTAGCAACTAAATGGTCAATGAAAGGTGACGTCATATGTTCATGTCATTACACTGGGTGATGGGGACAGTTCAGGGACAGTTGGAGGGGAGTTTTGTGTGTGTGCAGATTACAAGCTACCCATAGGGGCAAATGGTGCCAACAGAGCAGCAGTCAGCCCTCCCTCTGGAGTCCTGAATCAAGACCACGGCTCTGGCAGCAGAGCGCGGAGTCTGAAAATAAAACATGAAGTTTTGCCAATAACGTGGCCATTATTACCAGTAAGTAATCAACTGGGGAGGAAAGGTGATAAAATCATTTATACATGTTTTTAAAAATTGTTAGTTTATAGATACCTACAAAAATCTCCCCAATTCCTATATTTATGGAAATATCAGCTAATGAAGCAAGGGAACATATTTTTGTTAAAATGTAAGCAAAAATAAAATCCCATTGCTGAGTGGGAGGCCAGTGGCTCAAATGACAATTGAAATTACAGCCACAAAGAAAGCATGATGCAGGGGGAGATGAGCTGTGACCTCAATGAGAGTGAGCAGTGCTGCGAACCTTCAAGTGCTCTCACCTCGGTGCTCATCAAACTGCACTGCATCTCACACTCAACCAATTCTGTGGAAACATTAGTCTGTTTAACTGGTAAGAAGTCTTGTTCTGTACCTGACATTCCGAAAATTAGAAAACAGCTGCTCAAATAAATGTTCTCTAGTCAGTGGATAATCATGAAAGAAAAAAAAATCACAGCTACACAGATTATGGCATTAATAAATATGGACCTTAAAAGTTGTGAAGGGGGTACAGTTACTGTTTGACAGGTCTCTCCACTCTACCTTCTGTAGACCCCCAATACTGAAATGACACCCAAACCTCAAGTCAATCCAATGGCTGCTCATCAGGCTCCTGGCTGGTGAAATCTGGTCATGTGGCCTCTGAGGAACAAATGGTCCCACTTTCATTGTAAGGTCCATTCCAACAGGAAAGTTCCCATAGTTCGAACAGCACACTGCCACATGGGTTTTCTCCTCGTCCCAGGGAACCTCACCAGCACTACTGTTAAACTGACTTCCTTGGGAAGGGGTGGAGCTATGGGGAACATCATTGTGTAATGGGCAGTGAATTCAACTGGGACACCAAATTTTAATATTGTCAAGCTTTGAAATACTTGACCTTCTAGACCCGTGGGAGATCACCTACCTCCATCAGCCTCAAAAATAAAAGGGAGAAGCAGCAGCTAAGGAGACAACGAAATGTAGTGTAGGACCCTCAGATGTCCTGAATAAGGATACTAGTGGAAAAGTTGGTGAAACGTGAATAAAGTCCATAGCGTAGATACTAGTGTGGTGCCAATGTTAGTTTATTGTTTTGCTCAATTTACACTATGGTTGTGTGAAACGCTAACACTGAGGGAAGGAGATACAGGAGTGTCCCAAGCCTTCTCTTAAGTCTAGAGCTATTTCAAAACAAAGTTTTTAAAAAGAGCAATGACACCTATAATGTCCATTTTTTCAGTAAGCATCAAATGAGGTAGCATATGAAGTGTTTGGTCAACTAAAGCTGTACATATTCATACACACAAAAGGCATGTTATAATCAACATATTTAAATGTCAGTCCAAGTACAAGCCACTCCTCGATACTTTAGATACATGGTATGGGTTTATAACAATCTGGGTCAGATCCAGATTCATGAACATGATCTGTGACCTTCATAGTTAACACAACATTAGTTTATTCACCTATACAAAGGAGAGGAATCAATAATGCCTAACATGGTATAGAACTAAGTAAGATGAACTTTGTCTTGAACAAAGGAGAAGCTCCAACGTCTCATTCCTCACTGGTCAGTTAGAAACACCATATAGAGAATTGAGAATGCAGGAAGGCTAGTTTTTTGTTTTTTAAAGAATTTATCACTACAAGGAGGGAGGATGAGCCAGAGCTGCTGCACTTTCTAGTTTTCAATCCCAAAGGGAGGCGTCTCCCAGCACCGCATACGGTCTTGGTAAATACACTTCTTGAGTCACATGCTCCAAACCTATGGCTGTGATCACTAGTTCATACAGTCGCACTTGCAAAAAGGAGGGGTGGGCCACGATTCCCAGACCCAGGAAAAGGATGGATAGCCAGTGCCGTAAGGCCACTACAGTCCCATTTTAATTTTTCAGATTGGGAAATGGGAGTCCCCAAAGCGTAATTTGTCAGAAACTACGGTAGTAAGATGGTTAATAATGCAAACGAGGTATGCCTCGTGCACCTGATGGTTTTAGACCCTCAATCTTCCTGATTTACTCTGTGAAATATGTACGGATTTTGAGCTACTTGAAGAAATGAGCTGTTTTAAACAGGGATGAATACAGCATAATTGGTAGCATCATAAAGAGTGCTTCGTTTCCAGGGAGATACAGAGGTTCAAGCCCAGCCCTGCCACCTGGTGGCTGAGTGACCTTGGTACACCAGAGTGCCTGTGAGAGAGACATGAGCTAAACAGACAAAACATACAAAACAGGAAGGCGCAGGCGGAGCTTACCTGGCACAAGCACCCCAGAAGCTGTGTTAACGTACCACTTCTCGTTTCTGCCACAGGAAACCCTCTCAGGCAAAAGTGTGCCGTTTGATACCTGCACTCAGGCAGTAACTAAAGCAGAGACCTGACTGTACGAATGGATGGAAGGCATTAAGACATGAAAGGAAGCCAAGGACAGCTGTGTCCCTAGACAGAGCACTGACCATGGGCATGTGGAATCCAGGCCTGGCGCTGCCTGTGATCTTGGCGAGATGCTGCCCATCTGATTGACGGTGCTGGATTAGGTGAGATCGATGAGTCCCAATGTTAACTCTCGGGTCCAAGCCAGACCCTCCTCTTCAGGAGGCCCACCCAGGGAGAGCCTTAGACCTGGTGCCTCATCTCTTTTGTTGTTGGAAATTGTGTTCTTGGAGTGGCCGAGCCCCAGATTTAGTCTGCAAAAAAGCAGATTGTTTTCCTGCATGCAGACCCCAGACCCCAGACCCCAGGCCCCAGCCAGGTGAGCGAAGGGCTCAACACTACCAGCAACTGAATCGAGACGTGCTTTTTGCTTTTCATGTCTTAAGCGTGTTGTTCAGGTTAGGTTTGCAGACCCAGCTGGAGTGGAAGCCAGAGTTCAAGGTTCCCAGTGATGACACTCACACATATTGATTCATTACAGTTTACTCAGGAAACATACGGGGACAGAGGTTTTGTTTTTAAATACAGCACAGAAAGAAGTGTCAGCAGTAGGTCTGGGCTCATCTCCACACGTGTGGTCAGTGGGAACACACATCAGCAGCCCAGACACTGCCCCACAGGAGCAGTGACAGCCTGACCTTCGTCATTAGCTTTTTACTCCATCCTCACATGGGAAGACCTCGGACAGCGTCATCACTTGACACATCCTGCTTCATACAGACATTATACACAGTAGGATAAATGCATGTAACGTCCTTGTGCCCTTCAAGCTACCCTGTGACCATGACTTGGTGATAAACCTTCACTGTCACTTGGACGGCTGCAGTGGCAGCAGTCCATGGTTTCAACGCCACTTCACGTGGCCAGTCCAACAAACACCAGAAAGTAATGTGCTTCACCTGCTTTTTGAGCCTGAGCTTGATGGGGCTTTTTTGCTTTTTTTTTTAAAGATTTTATTGGGGAATTGGGGGAGGAGGAACAGACAAGTTGCTGTCCTTTTGTTCTTCAGTCTAGTTGTGGATGGCGTCACTTCACTGGTCCATGTTGGTATTATCCTTGCGCTCTTCCCTGGTGAGGCAGTCGCTTGCTGGCCGTTGGCCAGCCACTCACGGCAGCCCACGGCAGCTCACGAAAGTGCACGCCAGCTGCCGGCCAGCCCCACTGCAGCCTACACCGTTGCCAGTGACTCATGGCAGTGACTCCAGGTCGAGCTGTTGTTCACCATCTTAGCTGTATAGGGCGCAGGGTCACTGGCCCTCATGTGGGATCCGAACCGGGCCCTGCTGCTCAGAGCTGGCGTCCCAAGCCAACTCCTAACCAACGTGCCACTCAGCTGGCCCTTGATGTTCTTTTTAAGAAATAATTTTAATGATGGGAATGCTTTCAATGAGAACCTGAGATTACAAAAGTCATTCGTATTTCTCCCTTCTTTCCATCTCAGCAGTGACTGCTTCTTTACTATGTCCTCCTTGTTGGGCACCTTTAACGACTTACGTACTAATACCCGAATATAATGATTTAGGTACTAAGTAAATCTGGTATGCCCTGGTTTACGTAATCTTAGAATTTGGAAAGTAACAGTCCCAATGACAAGATGTCAAGACTGCCTGGATACAATGAGTAGTAACTGTGATCCACGTTGCAGAGACTCACAAAAAACATTATGACCAGGAAGCACCACAAAATGCACACTTGGCCTCAGAATGAGCTGACTACTCATGAAGGTCTGTGATGGGGTGTGGGTGTTGGGGGAAACAATGCGAGGTAGGGAAAGCACAGTACAGAAGTAATTCAGTTAAATTCCATTCTATTGAGCTGGTTATGAGATGGTATGCTGCCTGCTTCTGTGTTGCAGACATGAAATAGATACATTTTCTAAGATAATAAGAGTGACAATGGTCTTTCCCTTCACCATGTGGCAAACAAAGGGGGCAGGGCTCCCTGCTGTTGGAAACTGTCATATCTACACACAGGTCACATGATGCCACCCCCAAGAATCCACTGCAGGTACTGTCACTGTGCCCAAGTCTCAAACACTGACTTCTTTCACTAGCCAGTTCCCTCAAGACAGAACCAGAGCGATACACAAGTTTATTAAACAGACTACATCGTGAATGGTGTCTCCTGGAGTTACACAAAATAGAAAACCTGCACAAACAGCTCCTTCAAGATGCAGACTGAAATGCAAGTGCACCTGGAAGAGAGGTTCCCGCCCTTCATGAGGTGTGTATGCCAGCCGCAGAGAACCACTGGGTGACAGAGGATCAAGAAAGCTGAAGCGCTAGGCAACAGCTGACAAGGGACAAACGACAGGATGGTGCTGTCTGCACTGGGCCTCTGAGAATCTGTTTCAACTAACCTATGCTCTGTGAGATGTTAAGTGAAGCAGCTCTGGTGTGATCTTAGGAAAGCTGATTTGCTTTCTGGCATAGGTTGTGATGGGAACTGGTATGGAGACCTGGAAGAGGTTCTGTAGTAATCGTGACTACTGAAACGAGAAATCCTGTCTATGGTTACAGACTACATAAATGATACATACAAAAAAACTGCAGAATATGGGATGAGGATATTTGAACTGTACAGCACAGTTTATTAAGATGAAACTTCTGGGGAGCACAGTCCTTCACTCCTTTCCTTCCTCACTCAGTAATGGGCTCTTGTTTTTTCTTGTCCACACATTTATTGTAAATAACAACGCTTTCTTGTAAGTCATCTGGCTAACCCAGAGGTAGCAAAAAACTCTGCAAATGTTTTGGTTTTCCTATGAAGGGTCAGCAATGGCTGACTGTAGGACCGCTTGCATATGGGGCAGATGGCAGCAACCTCCTGAGCCATTTACATTTGCAGGAAAACCAAACAAAAGACAAAGAACTTTGATATGTGTAATTTCTATTGAATTGTTAAACACAAAGAGAAAACATTGACATTGACTATGGGAAATCTTGACAGGGTCAGTCCATGCCCTAGGACACACAATGCTCAAAACTCTCAAATGCTCACCACTCAGCACATGGCCCAGCAGACAAAGGGGACACTAGACGTCAACAACACTAATAAAGGGACTCTTTATAGATGTGTGTTCAGAAGTAAGGGAACTAACCAAGGACGGTGACACCATCAGAGCAGTTACCACCCTGTCTGAAGAGCAAGGACAGGGAGGAGAACTGAACACTGGCCACCCACCTGCTGGGAGCTGCAGCCAGGCAGGAGCACCTGCTACCCATGGTCCAGAGGGAGGGACTCAGCCTTTCTCTTCCCACCCGCCATCTCCGTCTCATACTAGAACCTCCCCTGCTCACACGTGAGAGCAACCCTGGCCGGGCGGTCCCTAGGGGACAGCCCCTGGGGGAGAAGGGCAGACAAAGAAGGAAGTGGCTATGCAGATGTCTAGGTCATCAGCACGTGGCTAGGTCCACAACACAGACAACTGCGCCAAGAAACAGGATTCTGACTCATGACACAGACCAGTCACCAGTTTTTAAAGACTCACACGCGCTGTTGTGGCCATATGCTTTACTTTGAAATACATCATAACCCCAAATACGCTGTCATTGCTTTGGCTTTAAGCACTCATTTACCTTTTTTTTTTTTTTGGTAGAGGGCAGTGTCACTGGCCCTCATATGTGGGATCCAAACCGGGGCCCTCTGGCATCCCAAGCCAGCTCTTAACCACTGCACCACTCGGCCGGCCCTCAGTTACCTTTTAAAAAGAGTTTAAAAGGAGGAAAAAAAAACCTTTCATATTTACTCACACACTCACCGTTTCCCGAACTTGTCCTGTCCTCTTGCAGATCGAAAGCTCCACTTCATGCTCGTCCCCCACTGCCCCAAAACGTCCTTGAGTGTCTCCTGAAGGCAGATCTACAGGTGAGATATTCTTTGATTGTATTTTTTTGAAAAAGTCTTTTTTGCTTTCATTTTGAAAGATGTTTTGATGGGTAGCAGCACTCCAGGTGGCAGGTTTTTCCCCCCCTTTCCATAATTTGAAGGTGTTACCCCGCTGTCTTCTAGAAGTGCGCTCTCATCCTTTGCCCTGTGAGTGTCTTGGGTCTTTTTTCCTCCGTGTGCTTTATACTTGTTCTTACTGGTTTTCATCACTTGACATGATGTCCATGACATGATTTTCTTTGTTTCTTCTGTTCACGGTTCTTTGAGCTTCTTGAGTATGTGAAGTCATAATTCTTACCATACATGGAAAAGTGTCAGCCATTAGTTTTTCAAATACTTTCTTTTGCCTCTTTTTCCCCTCTGGGGCTCCAGTTACATGTACCTTCCACCAATGTCACGGATTCCCTATTCTCTCCCCCCCAACCTCCTGCCTTTTCTCTGTATATATCATTTGACTAGTTTTTATTCTTATTCCTCAAGTTCATTAATTTTTTTCTTCTCAGTCTAATCTGTTCTTAAATCTACTCACTTTTTAAATTTCATTTTAAGATATTGTTGTTCCCATCCTGAAACATTCTATGTGGGCTTTTAAAAATATATCTTCCACTTTGTTTCATCAAATTCGTGTTTCCCTTTATCTTTATAATAGCTATTTGAACATCCTTGTCTACTAATTCTAACCAGTTATGTCTTTTTTTCGAGGTCTCTTTCTACTGATTGATTTTTCTCCTGGTTACAAGTCACATTTTCCTGCTTCTTTGCATAAGTTTTTGGATGCCACACATTGTGGGTCCAGAGCAGCTTTTAATGTAGGGTTAATTACCCTCACCACTAAGACAGCAGTCTTCTGGGAATTCTGCCTGATGCCCATGTGTTGAAAGTTGGTTGCATTCTGGCAGATGGGGACACAGACTATTGGGAGTCCTGTGCTGAGCTCCAGGAATCATTCGGCTACTGTTTTCCAGGTCTCACACACATGCCAATCAGTACCAGCCAAAAGGCTCCTTGAAGATCCCCTAGCCCTGTCCCTGGGAAGCTCTCACCTCTCTGGTCTGTTCCCTGCGAATTCTAGCTACCGTTGCCTCCCCAAACGCCAGTCCAGCAATTCTCTTCAATTCAGCAAGGCCACATCTGTTCCCTTCCCTGAACTGCGGCCTGGGAACTACCACCACTTTGTCCATCTTCTGCCAGGGATGACAACCCTGCGCTTGTCACGTGTCTGAAACCATCATTTCACACATATTGTGCAGCTTTTAGCTGGTTAAGGCAGGATAGTTCATCTGGCCCTTGGTATAGCACCATGGCAGAAAGCAGACATCTTCATATGTGAAACTCATCTGCCATTTTTAAATGACTATCTTTCACAATAATTCATATACAATGAACACAACTTCTTTCCAGAATTATTTCAATAGGATCATGCTTAAAAAATTCTTCGATTAGGACTACTCCTTACACAATCTCTAATTTCCTCTACACATGTATTCTCTGGTGTGCTGAGTTACCCTTTCTTAATGAAATCTCTCACTTGTCATGACAATGGAATGTTTTGCCTCTTTAGGTATTTTAAATATTTAATAAGCTTTCATTTTTGACCAAAAGGTTCTGTACTATCACAATATTGACAAATCATCAATGTGTAGTAAACTCTGTCTTCTGGGAGAAGGCTTCCTTATATTGTCTCCTTAAAAAAATTCTCCCCTTTCTGAATTCTTTAGTGAGGCTTGCCTTTCCCACAGTCACAGCATTGATAGGATTTCTCTTCTATGTGTGTCCTCAGATGTGTTAGAAGGCCTGACATTTGCTAGCAGGCTTTCCGCGCTCACTGCACTCCTGTGGTTTCTATATTACATGATTTCTCTGATGAATGACAAGCTGTGACTTCCTGTTGAAAGTAGTTCCACATTCATTGCATCCATAGTATTTATCTCCTGTATGAATTCTCTGATGCCTCATAAGGTGTGACTTTCTAGTGAAAGACTTCCCACAGTCACCACATCGATAGGGTCTCTCTCCTGTATGAATCCTCTGATGTATAATCAGCTGTGCCTTCTCAAAGAAAGCTTTTGCACAGTCACTGCATCCATAGGCTTTCTCTCCTGTGTGATTCCTCTGATGCTTAATGAGTTGCACTTTCTGAACAAAGGCTTTCCCACAGTCACTGCACACATAGGGTTTCTCCCCAGTATGAATTCTCTGATGCCTAAGAAGCTGTGGCTTCCAGGCAAAAGCTTTCCTACATTCACCGCATTCAAAGGGTTTTTCTCCAGTGTGGGTTCTCTGATGATGAATGAGACTTGACTTCTCACTGAAGGTTTTCCCACATTCAGTGCACTCATAGGGCTTCTCTCCTGTATGAGTTCTCTGATGCGATATCAGGCTTGACTTCTGGGTGAAGGCTTTCCCACAGTTGCTGCACTCATAGGGTTTCTCTCCAGTGTGAGTTCTCTGATGTGTTAGGAGCTGTGACTTTCCAAAGAAGGTTTTCCCACACTCAACACACCCATAGGGCTTCTCTCCTAAATGAAGTTTTTGATGTCTGATGAGCTCTGATTTCTTAAAGAAGGCTTCTTCACAGTCACCGCACTGGTAGTTCTTCTCTCCTGTGTGAGTTATCTGGTGTCTAATAAGCTGTGGTTTCCTGATGAAGGCTTCGCCACAGTCACCGCATTCATAGGGTTTCTCTCCTGTGTGAATCCTCTGATGCCTGATGAGCAGTGAGTTCCTGCTGAAGGCTTTTTTACACTCACTACACGCATATGGTTTCTTCCCTGTATGAGTTCTGTGATGAGTAATGAGCTGTGACTTCCAAAAGAAGGCTTTCCCACAGTCACCACATTTATAGTGTTTCTCTCCTGTATGCATTCTCTGATGTGTGATGAGCTTTAATTTCTGGGAGAAAGATTTCCCACAGTCACTGCAGCCATAGGGTTTCTCTATTGTGTGGGTTATCTGATGTCTTTTAAGCTGTGACTTCCTGCTGAAAGCTTTCCCGCACTCACTGCATCCATAGGGCTTCTCGCCCGTGTGTGTTCTCTGATGTAAAACAAGCAGAGACTTCCTACTGAAAGCTTTTGGACATTCACCACACCCATATGGTTTTTCTCCAGAATGAGTCCTTTGATGAATAGTGAGCAGTGACTTCTGTGAAAAGGCTTTCCCACAGTCACTACATCCATAGGGTTTCTCTCCTGTATGAATTCTCTGATGTATAATAAGCTGTGACTTCTTGTTAAATACTTTGCCACATTCAATGCATAAATAGACTCCTGTGTGTGTTATATGGTTTGTAATGAGCCACGACTCTTTACTGCTGGCTTTCCTACATATATTGCAATCACAGTATTTTATTTCCTCTTGAGTTCTGTCTGGTTTGATGTAGAATAGCAATTTCTTATTGAGCTCAAGTTTCTTTCTTTCACAGTTATTTTTTGGAATAAGAAAATCAAAAGGTTGTTTCAAACTTTTTTCACCTGTGTCACATTTATGGGGTATCACTCCTAACCGAACAAAGTTAATGCTTGAATGAAATATTTTCCCCAAAACATCATGTTCATGGTTGCTCTCTCTACTTTGAAGCTTGTCTTGATTATCCTGGTGCCACATTTTGAGATTATTATCTATCCAGAGTTCTTCTAAAAAGGAAAAAAATGAATCATACTATGTAAATCCCCCAATGATTATGCTTACTAAATAAAACTTGTGAAATGGAGCCTAGGATCTCCCTCCCCCCACCCACCAAAAATCTCCCATATACAATGTCTATTTATTGGGCAATAAAATTTTTAACAGAAATGAAAACAGATTTTTAAGTTACAAAGGTTTATAAACATGAGTTCTTAAATAAGGAAAGATGAACTATACTCAAGAAACAGTAATCATGAGATAAAAAAGACTAGAGCAATTTCTAATCAAATACTGGGATGGTCAATTTACTTATTGCCATTTAAAAAAAAAAACACCTAAAAAAAAACCAAACCTTTAAGAAAAAAAAAAAATCTTGTTATTTTGGAAAACAAGTGGGCCATCTCTTACTGATGTCATCTTAGGTTGGGACCAGTGGAATTTCCCAGGTCTCTGATTCTGTTACACTCTTGTATGTACTGTCTTCATTTCATCCTATTTTTCAAACTCATATCCTTACTTCCAGTCTTGCTCCCTCCCCACTCTTGTCTCCACATTGCAGCCAGTAATCTTTCAAAAATGTAATCACGCCTTTTTACCCACAGCTTAAAAACCACACAAAACCTTTGATAAATGCAAACTTTTATCATGGTGTCCATGCCTTTGCACCATCTGGTTTCCTCCAAGCTCTCTGACTTCCTGTCACAACCCTGCTCACCACTCCTCAGGCACACCCAACTCCTTCCCGTTCCTTTGATCCCTTTTCTGCCTCAGAACCTTCCATTTGCTGTTCCCTCTGTTTGACTTGCTCTTCCCAGCTGTCAACACGCTTGACTCATTTAAGTCTAAACAGCACTTTAAGGCCACACTATCAAATAATGTTATTCCCTCCACAGCACTTACCAGACAGGTAATCACCACACTTCTGTCTCTTCTGCTAGAATGGAAACCCTGAGGGCAGGTGATAGGTTTGTATGTTTCACTGATGTACCCCCACTACACAGCACACAAGAAGTCCTCCATTCATGTAGGACAAATATGGTTCACTTATCAATGAACTTCTCAAGAAGTTCTTTCCCGTATCATTAATCTGATAATTAACTTTGCATTTTAACACAAATGCTTTCAGTGCAAACACTGAATTAGTGAATATTTTATAGTTTTGAATTGTCCTCTAAATCAAAATTCTCCAGTCCCGCAAAGTTATTTCTTGACTCTTATTTTCTTTCTCTCAATTAATTTAATTCCACATAATAGCAGTGGTTCTAAGTTAATGGGGGAACATAAAATCTATCTTCACAGGTTTTCCAAGCCACACATACCTACACCTAATAATGCATGTGATGGTGCCTGGACATCTGTGATTGAAATACTTCCCAAGGTAAGCTAAAATAGTTGCATAGATGAAAGAAGGCCTTTGTATAAAGAACTATTTGATGACTAAGAAAGTTCCTACCTTACCTGGTCCCACAACCACTGGTTAATGAAACGTTTAATAATCACACACCATAAATTCCACACAGAACAGAAAAGGCGTTACTCGCCATCTTTCTGTGTGGGGAAGAAACCTTCAGCCCAGCTGGTTAATGAGTTCCACATAATGTCTAATCAGGTCTGAGTTCTTACAGCACAATGCTCAGTGGGTAGAGATTGCAGAAAAGGCTGGGAGACAAGGAACACTCGCTGGAGGTGAAGAGAGCGGAAACTGAACAGAGGAACAGTCCACATGGGACAGCGTGATATAAACAGAGGCCCATACGCAGAGGAAAAATGTGTGAAAGACACTGAGGAAGAAACTAGTTCAAATGGAGTTGACCATGACCTCGGAGCACAGAACAAACTGGATAAGATGTTGCCATACCAAGAGGCTCTTCCACATAAACGTAGCTGAAATGCCCCACAGCAGGTAACGGGGACCTTAAACCCAGCAGACTAGCTGATGGGACGAACGAGAAGCTGTAGACAAGCTAAACGTCAAGTGCACCAGAACAACGCACTGGAAGGGCTGCAACGCTCCTAGTGCTCAGGGGCCGGGGAGCAGCAGGACCGCCCACGGCGCTGCAGGTATTCAGTTCTGTCCTGTAGCCAGAGTCACCTTCTACTCTGGGGGCTTAAAAAGAAGGCTGACAAACTAGAGGGAGCCAAGGAAACCAGCAAAGGAAACTCAAAGTGTCAGGTAAAATGAGGAAACTTCTTGAATTCTTAGAGGAGGCAAGAAGCCTCCTCTGCAAGCTGAGTTCGGGCAGGAGACCGAGGAAGCTGGGAGGCAGAGCCTTATGCACAAAGCGGGTCCTGAATGACTGGCCACCGCCTCGTGGGCTGCACAGGTAGGAGGGGGCACATTTCATCACCAATCCCACGCCAAGGGACACATCCTGCTGTGGGTGGACTGCAGGACATGAGCACTTTAAAAGTCGTGAAGAACTATGTCACTGGTCCTGAGTCAACCCTAAAGATGCAGGACCTTTACAGGGTTTTATAAATCATGTTTCAAAAGTGCCCACCTGCCACACACCTGACTGTTCCTCACCTGAAAGGCTCTGACTCAGGATCTCTTCATTTATTACCCAGGGCTCTTCCGGCTCCAGCTTGAAAACTGCATCTGGCTTGGTAATTTCACAACCTGTTCTCGGAGACACAGGATGTGAAAGCAACTGCCTGGGCCGAGGGACTCTTTAATGTGAAGACTATTTTATTACAAAGGCCATAAATAAAGTAAAGCGAGTGCACACAAATCGTTCAGTTGGGTGTACAAGCCAAAGCCTCTCTGAGCCCTGCAGCTTAACTCCCAAATCAGGAAAGGTCTCAGAAGCCTGTTACTGGGCACACGCTATGCTGCGTGAGGACGTTCTTACCCAGGAACACGAGATTGCTGTAGTTCTCCAACATCACATCCCGGTACAAGCTCTTCTGCATGGGGTTCAGCAGCTGCCACTCGTCCAGCGTGAAATCCACAGCCACGTCCTCAAATGATATCTAGGAAGGCAGAATTCTTGTTAAAGCTGAGGTGGCCCTCGGGTCCAGCGCAAGCTTTCTTCTCTACAGTGGCCGGCGGCCTGGCAGAGGCCCCAGTGGCTTCACGCCTGGTGTTCCTGCCTCTCAACTACAGCCAGACCGACTCAAACAGGGCAGGAGTGATGGGATGTCACGTCCAAGATTAGTTCCAGAAGACTGTGCTTCCATCTTGGACCCTCTTTGCTCTCTGGGGGAATCCTGATGCCATTGGGAGGCAGCTCTGTGCAGAAGCCCATGACCAGGACTGGGGCCTGCCCACACCCACATGACTCAGCCTTCTCAACATCTTGACCACAGCATCATGTGAGACCCTGAACCAGAACCACATGGGTAAGCAGCTGGCAGTGCCCAACCCACAGACATGGAGAGATAAAAGCTTGTGTTTCCAGCCACCAAGGTTTGGGGTAATTCACTACATAGCAATGGTGAACTAGTGTAATAGCCTACTCTTGCGTTATACCTTGAGAGAGATGCAAAAATGTGATTGAAATATTTATCATTATGAATTCATCCATCTATCCATTGAGTAAGAAAGTGAAATAGGTTGTCTAAATAAGCAGTGTTTCTCAAAGAAAGTGCCACTGGTATTTGGGGACGGTTCTCAGCTGAGCGCCGTGGCCCCATGCACTGGAGGACCTTCAGCAGGCCTGGCCTCTGCCCGCTAAATGACAGGACTATTTTAGTCACCATCAAACCCCAAGTCACATACACGTCTAAAACACTGTCCTCCCTCCGGCGGCTCTGCTCCAAGCAGGAACAATAGTAGGCTCCTTAGACATCCTCTAGAACACAGAAATTGAGGGTTTTTCCAGGCCAGAGGCACTAAGATGTTACAGAGGCCACAAAGCAAGGACATGCAGGGTGTGGGAACAGGCACAAGGAAGTAGAGCAACCAGACGATTTGGAAAAAGAACGACAATGTTGGAGGACTTGCGTCACCTGATTTCCTGACTTCCTATAAAGCTAGTGATTAGAACAAGGTGGTATCAGTGAAAGGTAGACACACAGATGAATGAAACACAGCAGAGAGCCTAGAAATAGACACCCACAAACATGCGACCGATTTTTGACAAAAGTACCAAAGCAATTCCATGGACAAAGGAGTTTTCCCAACAAAAGGTGCTAGAACCACTGTACATGCCTGAGCAAAAGAATAAATGTCACACATACCACATGCCGAATGTAAAAATGACCTCAAAGTGGATCACAGACCTAAACATAAAACATAAACAATTCTAAAGCTTCTAGGAGAGAACTTGTGTGACCTTGGGTTTCACAATGAGTTTTTATATACAACCCCAACATACAGTCAATTTAAGAAAAAATTAGTATGCTGGACTTTTTCAAAATTGAATTATTTTTCTCAGTAAAAGACATTGTTTTAAAAAAGAGAAAATGTAGCACAGACTAGGAGAAAATATTTGCAAATCACTTGTCTGAGAAAGTATCTCATCTGGAATATATGAAGAACCTTAAAACTCAACAACAAGAAGATAGCACTATTGACAATGGGAAATCTTCACACACACTTCACCAAAGAAGATGGAGAGGTATGAGGTAAACATGAGACGACGTTCAGCGTCACCTGTCAGTAGGGAATGAAACTGAAATTGTAAAGAGATACACTACACACCTATGAGAATGGCTAACAGTTAAAACCCCTAACCTGGCAGTGAGAGGCTACACAGCAGCCATGCTCCACTGATGGTGGGGACACAGAATGGCAGCGACTGGGGGGCAGAGTGGGACCCGGTCTGACCACACCGTCCAGCGATCCCACTGCTTGGTGGCGACTCAGGTGAACTGAAATGCACATTCAAACCTGTAAGTCTGTGAACACAGCGGCTGAAAGCTGGATGCAGCCATGATGTCCTTAGAAGTAATTGGGTAAGAGACATGCATCCCTGCAGTGGGACATTCCTAGTGACACCACTTGGCAGTCAGAAGGAACCAACGGCTCCGGTAGCTCTCTGAGACGCGAATGAAAAATGCCAATATCCAAAGGTCACATAATGAGGATTTCATTATATGACGCTCTGGAAAAGACAAACCAGCCACAGAACAGATGAGCTGGTGCCAGAGTTAGGGACGCAAGAAGGCAAGAAAATGGGACCTTCCGAGTCCTGACTGCCATGCTGGTCACACGAAGTCACAGATGCTGTAAAAGTCACAGTTGGCTTTACCCCACAGACCTCCCGGGGAGCTGTCACCGGCACACCAGAGCTGGTGACAGCCTGCGCAGTGCAGACAAGGAAGGAGCAGCAGTCCAGGCCGCAGCCCGCAGTCTGTCCCCTGTGCAGCCTGGGTGTCCTCACCTGCCACCTTTCTCAGATGCCTCTGCAGAGACCTCCTCCTTCTGGGCTGGGGGGAGGGGGACCCTGGGGAAACTTCTCCCCATGGGGACTTGTTGCCTGAAGCCGATTTCTATTAACATGAGTGTCTCAAGGTCTCAAGGTGTGACTGGGACCTGTTGAAATGCAAACAGTTAATCTCCTCTTGGGAGGACACAGTAATCAGGTGTCCTAGGGGCTAGGCTGCGGATATGCGAAGGCATAGCATTTGCTGGAACATAATGGGATATGTTAAAGGAAAAAGGCTTTGAGGCCCAGACCCCAATCGGATGCTAATTTGATTGACAGCAGTAAAACAGTTTCACTTCTTTTCAATAAAAGCCATGCGCTGACCCGATTCGGGGCTCGCTCCGATTCTCTGAATGAGTCCCTTGGGCTTGCTCAGTTTCTCTGACTGAGTCCCTTGGTCTCGCTCTTAACCCTACTTTTGTCTCTGACTCTTTATTCAATCTACGTCGCCCCTCAAGAGAAACCCGTTTGCCTTTGCCACGCTGGACGTGACAGGGACTAGTACCCAGTACTTTTCTACTCCAGCCCTCCTCCTGACCTGACTCCACAAAACTGCCTGAGCCTTTGCTCAGGGCTCCCCGGGAGACCCCATGTCTGCGCGGATCTACTGACCCACCAGCCCCGGCTCCACAGAGAAGCAGTCGGGGGAGCTGCGCCTTCTCGCACCTGGTCTGTGAGTAAGGGCTCAGGCACTTTCACTCTGGCTGTGGCTTTAACCGGCCACTCTGACGCCTGGCAGCTCAGCTCCTGGCTCAGCTGAGCTGACCCTGAGCTGTGCGTGCAGAAAGGGGAGTCAGTGGTGCTGTGTGTTAGTGGAAACAGCAGAACTGGTGAAAGAAAGGAATGAAGGGAGGCGGAGAGAGGCAAGTGAGGCAAGCGTGAAGGAACACTGCAATGTGTGTCCTGAAACAAGACGGTACGGAAACAGGGCTGAGGCCGACGCCCACGTGCCCAGCTCTGCCAACAGAAGCAAAAACATGTGCACCTGAGAAGTATCCAAATTCCACCTGCGAGAAGACCACAGGCCACCTGAGGGCTGGCTGTGCAGGTCACCTCTGTCACATGGTTCGGTTTCTCTGCTCAAAGCAGACAGGCTGCCTGTGCTGCAGGCGCACCGCTCGGTGCTCTAACCAGTGTCTCAGGCTCCTCAACTCACGCCTGGGCTTACCCTGTGGACTCTGTGAGGGGACCCTCCATGACAGGGCTGCTGGGCACAACTGTCCACAGCCACCAACATGTTTTCTTTCCATGAGGTCACCAGGAAATGCTAGCTTCTCAGAGCACTGCCTTTCGGACCATCCTGGTCACGTCAGTCACAGCTTTGGGGACAGCTCAGCAAAGCCTGCAGCTCAACCTAACAGCGAAGGACCTCATCCCTTACTGTGTTCCAACTGTCAGACTTCTGTAGGGTTCCATGACCCACTCATGCTTCCTTTCACATCCTCTTTCCAAGTTTATATTTCCTACTATTTAAAAGTATTGAGAGGGCCGGCCGAGTGGCTCAGTTGGTTAAGAGCTTGCTCAAGAGTTTGAGCTCTGAGCAACAGCGGTTCGAGGCCAGCCCGAGCTGAGCAGCTGCTAAGCTGCCAACAGGTAGCAGGATGGCTCAGCTAAAAAAAAATAAATAAATAAAAAATAAAAGTATTGAGGCCTTTCCTGCTGGTTGCAGATTCCTTTCAGCCTCATCACATCCACAGAACAACCTTCTGGCGAATAAACAAGTGACTCACCTGTGACGGGGTCATTTTCTGCTGCTTTGGGGAAGTCTGCTATTCTTGGACTTCTCTGTCCTGATACGCTGGGAAGGGCCTCTGGTTGAGGTCTGCAGACTGGAGGGATGCACCCCCAGTCCCGAGCCTCTCCCTCTTATCTCGCACGCGTCATCTGTTCCTTAGAGCCATGGCCTGGAGATGCAGTGGGAGTTTTCTTTTAGATGGTGTAATTCAGTTCCCACACTGGGAACTCTGACAAGTAGTCTGGGGAACTCCAGTCAGAAGTGGCTGGACGGTGAGCTGCTGGCACATCTCAGCTGGGCCTGCCACTGCGCTGTGCAGCCCTGGCTCCCAGAGGGAAATGCCAGATTAAAGCCGCTTGCTTCACTGGTTCAACCAAACGCACCGGAGGAGCCAGCACACCCAGCACTCTGCAGACACCCACAAAGTCTGAAAATACAAGCTAGGCTCACGCATTCTGCAGCAGCATTTCCTGGGGCACGCAGATGAAATTACTTGCATAGGTGCCATATACAGCTCCCGTCCAGATAGGACGGTAAACAGAAACTGGCTTGTAGATCAAGAGGGTGACAAAGCCTGGGGTGCTGGTGCCCTACTCCAACCCGCCTGCAGCAAAAGGGAGACATCAGAGGAACTAACAGGAACGGAAAAGAAGATGGACCGGGGGCCAGGCTGTGGTGACGCCGACTGCTCATGGGACAGCCCAACAGCCCAGAGTGGATGGCAGCACCAAGAGCCTAAGGAAACCCTGATGACACTTCTTTCTTGCTCCCCCTGGGACACAGACTGCCTCCCCTTTTCCTCAGAAATCAGCAGGAACAACCCAGGCCACAGGTTCCCAGGGGTAAATCGAGGCAGATCAGAGTACTGCTGCGTTAAGGAACCGTGGGATTGGCTGGGGCTGACCGCTGCCTCTGGGTGTCCACTCATTTCCTTACCCCTCCACTCCTAGGGGAACCGCGCTCCACACCCAGCTTCTGCCAAGGGTCTCTGCTCCCCGACCCAGGAGCTGCTTGGAGGGGGTGGCACAGGGGTTCTCCACTGTTCTACAGGGGCCACACTGTTGGTCCCAGGAGCCCTCCCCTCCCTCTGCTTCAATGGCTGGGCTGGACCCATCCTAATGCAAAGTACCATTGTTTGTAGGACAGTAGCTAGCACCTCTGGGGCACATGAGCTCAGAGGCCTATAAGGGCAAATATATATTAAAAATAATAAGAAAAACCCCTAATTGTCCCTTGTGCAGATAAGGGAGGCTCCTCCCCCACTCAAAGAGCATTTGCTTTAGAAAATGTATAACTGTACATTCTTTCTCTGTCCCTCTGAGCTGTATGCAACTCTTTCTAAAGCTGAATAAGCCTTGTCCATCCAGTTTAACAGCCCAAGAACCTGGGAACCATCTCCCTGCAATGGCCCAGCAGACCCACTCTCCCAGTATGTGAGCACAGGAGCCTAACCACCTGGCTCCGAGCTATAAATCTACCTCTTGTCATGAAGATGTGAAAGGTTGGTTTTTCCTTTGGATAAAGGCAATTAGCTAACACAGACGCCAGGGAAGTTTAGAATGGTCTAGGTGTAACATGTTATCATTTATCTTGAGAGCGTGTGTATCATGAGTCACATCCACCTGGCTGTAGAAAAGGGTGTGCTTTCTTCCTGCAATCTGCTTAGCAGACTGCCTGCCATGATGATCAATGAGTTCAATTTTTATTCAATAATAAAACTGTTTCTCTTTCTCTTCTACTTTTGTGGAGATGTTTTCTGGGTTTGCAGGTTATGGTTTTAATGATTTCCCCAACAGGCCAAATAACCAGATAACTGAGTACAAGCACTATTTTTAAAAGATCACAAATTGCATAGCAGGTATCATCTTAGGCAGAATCGCTAGGACAGACGAACCAAGACTTAAGCATAGTAAACAAAAAATACTACGTCTTGATGAATATAAATACTTACACTTCAAATTTTGTCACTGCTCCTGGCCCAGGTCATGTACATTCAGCCACCTATGAGATCAGAGCCAAGGACTTCATGGGCACGGGTCACATGGGGATATTTCCTTCATAAGAATACACCTGAAAGGAAATGTCCAAAAAACTCAGTACCCAGTAAACTTGGGGACGAGAGGGAGAAATTCCACCTTTGCTAGCCATCCTGCCAGTTGAGATTTGTCCCGTACTTGTGGTCTCCACCTGTGGTCCAAGAACAGTGGCTGAGCACCGACGTGCCTGGAGCTCCAGCCCAGGCTCCACAGGCTGACAGGCTGGCTAGGACGGCCAAACGTGCTGGATCGGTCAGTGGGTGCCTTCCCAGGAAATAAACTGAGCAAGGAGACGCTGTAAGACCCGCAGAAGATTCTCAGCAAGAGCTCTTTGGAGGCACTCTTCCACTGAGAGAAGAAGGTGTCCTCAGTGTTCCAGCGGGTACAGACATGGATGGAAGTGTCCACTCACCTGCCGTAGATGAGGGGCGAAACTGACACGGGTTTTTCCCCACGGCGGCTAACGAGTGGAGTCAGGACAGCAGCCCCTTCCAGGAAGTCTCCACCCAGCCCTAGAGCTGGGCAAGGCCTGGAAGCCGACTAGACAGGCCTGCTGTCATCGCCACCCGCTCAGGGACCCTACACTGCTCAGTCCGCAAAGCAGAAAGGCAACACCTGAATACTGCTCAGTGCTGACCTGGCCACGTGGACCAGCTCCTGGCATCATCTCCCCAGGGGCCTAAATGTCTCCCTCTCAGTCATTAAGAGAACTGAGGCCAGGGAGGGGAGACAGGTCCCAATGTCCACAGGTAACTAGGATCTTGTGGAGCAGTCAACAGCCACAGCCAGTCTGGAAAGGCAATCTGGATTTTGAATTCTGACCTGAAACGTTGGCAGAGGGCACAGCAAGGACATCCAGGCAGGAAGAGTTCCTAGAAGAGGGTTGGTGTCTGGTCTTGTCATAGGTCACCGGGGCACGTGTGAGTCTTCTCCAATCATACGGGGAAGGGGGTTCTTTGTGAGAAGTTGCTTCCTGGAACACAGGAGGGTGGGAGATTTCGTCACCTTCCCTTTGTCTTCCCCAGGAGCACAGGGCTCAAGTAAAACCCTACTGTCACAATCAGTGGGACGTCCAGTCAATGAACTCCTCAGTTCAACAACTCTGAGCCCTCCATGTGCGCCCCACAATGGCTTTATCGTTAGTCCCCACTGGCCCCAATCACCAACCCAAAGGCACCCAGTCATCCATCATCAGATCTTAAACTATTCCTACAAATCCTCCCCCACCACTCTCCCATCACCCCAGAGAGCAGCCCTCCAGGGGCTCCCTCACTCCCAACCCTGCTGCCTCGCCCCCACAATGGCCAACCCCCAAATCTTAAGACACCCCAAAGTCCCTCAGTGACTCTCCCCAGAGGCCCCCAGTCACCCAGTTAATTGCCTCCATTGGCTTAAAAAACACTCATCCCCTCCCAAGCCCCATGTTACTGATTTTCAGACACTCCAATACCTAAACCCTCAAGTGTCCCCAAATTAAGCTGCTCCACCGTCTCCCTCAGTCCCCTCATCACTCACCAGCACGGATGGACCCACCATTGACACCCAAATCTCCTTCTTGACATCCACACTCACTGCTCGCCACACCCATTTGTACAGAACTCCAGTCCCCTGAGCGCGGCCCCGGATACTGCTCCCTCCCTCCCTCCCCCGTGCCGTCCCACGGTCCCCACCCCACCTGGATTAGAATCTGCGCCTGCGCGGCGGGGCCGCCCTCCCGGGCCTTCTTTGCACCGGCTCCGAGGCCGGTTCGTACGCGCGCCGGGATCGCCGCGAGCCAGTCCACGTCCAGGTTACCGCGGGACTGGTGTGCGCAGCCTCACTGTCCCCCCGCCAGCCCCACACACCCTTAACCCTCGGGGCCGCCGGACCCAAGACTGACACAACCCGACGGCGGAGGTGTGCGCGCAGAACTTCATTTCCCAGAGTTCCGCTCGCTCTAGAACTACACTTCCCAAAGGGCACTGCGGCGTGCCTCGCTGGATTGGCTGGCTGGAGATTTCGCGCTCCTCTGCCCCTGCCTGGGGTGCGAGGTACACAGATGTAGCGTGGAGCCGGTGCTGGAGCTCAGGATGTGTTTGTGAATCAACATAAATGTGTCACCAGGAGGGAACTTTTGTATCCTATCCATTTTTGATCATAGATCAAAGTAATTTATAAAATGAAATTAATATAGGTATGTTTGAGGACATCCAATCGAGGCGTGCTAACAAACAAAAAATGAAGAGGAATTTAGGGAGAAATTAAATGTAATTATGGAAAGAAGTAAATTAATGAATATAATAGCAGAAATTAAGGAATTAAAATAGAAAAACTACACTTGATAAATCCAGTTTTTAAAAATAAAATATAAAATCATACTAGAAGTTTTATCAAATAATGGGGAGAATGCAACATCGTAGATGGACCTTGAAGGCATTATGCTAAGTGAAGACAGAAAGTCAAATAGTGTATGATCTCATATATGCATTTTAGTTTTAATTCAAATTATTTTCTAATTTTCCTTCTGATTTCTAATTTGAGTTAGGGGTTACTTAAAAAAGTGTTTTATTAATTTCCAAAAACCTGGAGATTTACTACATTTGTGCTGGAGTTGATTTCTAATTTAATTCCACTGTTGTCAGGTACATTGTTTCATTTCATCCTTTTAAATTTATTGAGAAGTATTTTGTGGTGAGGAAGTTCCATGTGCACATAAAAATTATGCACTTAGCAGTATTTAGGGGGAGGTTCCATGTCAATTACTTTGAGTGGGCTCGTAGTATTGTAACCCTGGGAACTGCAGCTTGTAGCCTCACAATGTCCCCATCTGCTATACTTTGTGGTCTGAACCGTATCTTGTTTGACATCAAGACCTGAGCACGCCTGCCCTCCCCAATGAGGCGGGAATCTTCCAGGGTCTGCGTGGGCTATGCGGGGGCTGGGGTGTTTCGCGGCCGAGAGCGACGGACCAGGGGCCGCTTTGGGAGCCGGACATGCATGCCTTTCCTGTAAGGCTCCGGCGCCCCTCTCTGCAGACGCTCCTCTTGCTGGAAGCCGAGTCAGTTAGAAAGGACACTCCGCAGAGGATTCTGGGAGATGTAGTCTTCCCGGGCCGTCTTACCCGGCGCATCGACGCGTGACGTACTTCCGCAGGTGCCGCACCGGGGCCGTGGTCGGTATGCGCCTGTGGGGCTGTTCTGGCTTGTCAGTGGATGCGAGTGGACGGGGGCGTGCTGAGTTCTGTGGCCGGGACCCGGCGGAGGCGCGGAGTTAACCTGGACGGGAGCGTCCATTGCAGGCCGGGGTCTTGGCCAGCTGAGCCTTCCACAGTCGGTCCGGGGCGTGGACGGAGCCAGCGTCCTCCCGCGTCAGGGCTGCGGAACGGTACAAACTCATCGCCCGACTTCTGCCCAGCCTCGGAGGCCGCGTCCCTACGGGGGACTCGGCGCCGGATCCTACCTCTGTGGGGCGCGCGGTCCCTCCTGGGTGGGTGGGCGGGGGTGGAAGCAGCAGGGAGACCCTCGCGGCTCGGTGCTCTCCTTCGCAGCCTGCACGAACCAGCGCGGGATGGCCACCAGGCTCCGGGCAGCTTCGTATTGGGTGAGTGGGGACTTTACTTTTTAGAGCTGACTCGGCGCCCAGTGTGGACACGTTCATCCCTTCGCGGTCACATCCAGGGCCCGAACTCACTGGCTGCCCTGCCACGCCCCCGGGGTGCAGGGACCGTACCCCCGTCCCTGCATCTCACGAAACGTTCCTGTCTCCTGGCATGTGTGTCCGGTGCCCTCTCCTTCGATAGTTACACTTTAGTGCCAGCTGCGGACCGTGAGCTCTGAGGGAGAGGAGGGTCCCTACGGAAATGGTCGTCTGTCATTTCAGGTTTTTCACACTCAAATACAGAGCCGTCTTCATATCCAGACCTTCAGGGCCTCGTTAGAGAGGTTCCCCTTCTGTTTTCTTGGTGTTTGTTCAAATGCTTACTCTTTGTGTGCTGGACCCTGGGGTTGGTGCCGGCGGTGCCAAGATAAGTCATGTACGCTTCTTGTTTTAGAGGAGCCGTGCTCTGGCAGGGACGGTGAACAGAGGGCACAGTGGCAGTTGAGTGGGTAAGGAAAGGAGGCTTGGAGGGGAGTTTGGGGGTACAGAGCACGAAAGGAGCAGTTTTGGAGGTGGGAAGGGACCGCGGACCACCTGGGATATGCAGGTGATGGATGGAGTGAGCAAGAGGGACACCTGTTGTACACCGCGGTGGTTCCCGGCCTCGGGAACGCTGTTAGAAGGGTGTCTCCAGGAAGAGGGCGTGGTTTTGTCCGTGCTCAGTATGCATTGCCTGTAGCTGAGTGTGTAGCTCAGTGGGAATTTTTAACTGGAAATACTCAGATGAAAGGCTCCTGTGATAATGTTAGCTCAGGATGTGACCGAATAGGGAGGGCCCTGAAAGAGACCGAGTGGAGGGCTCAGGGTGAATGACAAGGACAGGACTGCGGTGAGGGAGGACTGGAGTACAAGAGGATGTTTTCTTGCTGCAAATTTGAGAGAAGAGCTTAATATACTGGACTGTCCTTTAATTTTTTGGATAAACGTCCTTGTCATAGTTTGCTATGTATGCATGTACAGGATTCATTTTACTTTGCTAGTGTTTTTCACTAAGTATTTTGATCAGTTAATAAATGAGATTAGACTGCAGTGTGCTGTGCTGTGGTTTTTTAGGGGTGTGGGGGGGTAACACAAGCTTGTATGATGCTCTGTATAGGTGTTCCCTCATTTCCTGCCCTACATCAGATTAGGTATCATGGGAACTTTCTGTTCCTCTGATGTTGATAGAACTTTCAGCATGGTGTGGGACCGCTGCCTTTCTGGAGAGAGTACACCTTTGGTTACTGCTTCACTTTATTGTGTGGTCATTGACTAGTCAGTCTGGCTTTCTTAATTCTTTCTGTGCCAATTTTGGTTACTGTTATTTTTGATTTCTTCTAAGTTTTCAAATTCAGTGGAACAAATTTGTAGATAGCAGTTCTGCTGTCATCTTTGCTTTAAAAATGTGACTTCATTTCAACGTGATTGGTATCTTAGGAAAAGATGTGAGCTTTCTGTCTGATTTCAGAGAAACCTCTTTCCGTGACTTTATGATGAGATGTAGCCCCCCTGACACCCAAACATCAGGTCTTTTTCAAGGTGAAGTGTTATATTTATTGTGGCGTTTGTATATTTCTTAACCATTAAATACGTGTAAAACTACTACTGTTTTTATTAGGTTCCTGATTTTCTTTTATGTGTTGTTGACAAAGATTTTATGCTTCTTCCCATAAGCTCTATGGTTTCACTGTGTGTCTGCATGGTAGTGTTGTTTTTTTTTGTAACATACATGTCACATCACAGCAGAACTGCCTATGTATAAAAATCTCTTATAAATTTTAATGTGGATTCTGTCTTGGTCTTGATAGTTATGGCCAGTTAAATAATTCTTGGCCCATTAAAAAAAATTTTAATAGTTTCTTTGTATTTTATTCTTATCAAGCTTAAAAAATAGTAAAAGGCTTAAAATAAAATAATCCGTCTGTTTACCCCCACTCTGTTCTGTGCCTTTCTGTTTCCATCTCGTTCCCGAATCAGCCACGTCAGTCTGTGTGCCCTACGGCTTCTGCTTTCATAGGGTCACACGGGTCTCCATTGCTCCATGTCTCCTCACAACAGAGGCTGCGTGAAGGGCCTTGGTGCACTTCCTTCGGGTACAGACAAGTCACGGCGTCATTTTTCTCCATCACAACCTCAGACATGCCCTGTCGGGTCTCCCTGCCCTGGCCCCGACCGTCATCTCTGTGAGAGCCTGTTGTGTTCTGGTCGTAAGTCTTATTTGGCTGTTAGTTACTTTCCGACATTGGAAAGGCCAGTCTACACTTGAATCCCAGCCCCAGATCTTCCCGACTCGGTGCAGAGGGGACATCGGTCTCATCTCTTTATTTCTACTCAATGTCCTTGCTGCCCCCGTGGGGGCTCCTCCTGGGTTGGGATGGGAGATCAGTGGTTAGAGGACAGAAGCTCCTGTTGTCTGGTCGTCAGTACCCACCCAGCACCTGGGGTCACTTGGAGCCTGTGACAGGGCTCCACCTGTGCATCCTTGATGGGAGCAACTCTCACTCACCTCTGCAGGCTTCCCAGAATGCATCCCGCCTCTTCCCTCCTGGGTCCTTCTCACGGCTAGCTTGGTAGCAGCTGTCATGGGGGATCAAGTCTGGGAACCACCTGGGCATCACCTCTCGTCTGCCTTTGCAGAGCAGTCCAGCAGTCTCCGGCTTCAGAATTTCCCAGAGGGAGACAGATATCAGACTCATTGTTTACTGAAACCCCTAAACACATCAGTTCCTGTGAATGGGCTGAGTGGACCTCCGGGCTGCGTGTGAGACATTGCCTTCTCAGCCCCTTTCTCCCCACAGGCGCTGTCCTTCATGGGGCATTTCTCCCCCAGTAACCCCCTTGGGTGACCCACTTTCTTCTTGTAGCTTCTTCACTGTGTTCAGCCCCTTGTCCCCGCATTTCTCATCCCTCAGGCTTCCCAAACTCCTTGAAGGGCAGCGTCTTCAGTTCGCTTGGCCAAGACCCGTGTTGCCCTTCTCAGCATCCTTGTCTCCCTC